ATTGCTTTCTTATGAAGTTCACAAAAAGCTTAAAATATTGCTTACCATTTGTGTTGTATCAGCGTTGAGATACAAAAATATGGTAAGCCAAAATGGATTCTCAGTGGTAATACTGCTCAAATCTGTACATGGAAAAAAGGGTAAAAATTGCAAATTTAGCAAAAATGGTTAAAGAAAATGATTGTGTGACAATTGATGTCGATTTGATATCTGTACTTTTTCTCCAGACTTTTGTTTCTTTACACAGCGGAAGTAGTTTCCGTTTTTATGAAGTTTATGACATTGTCACAAGTATATTCTTTTTAAAGAATTTAATATTGATTATTTTAACTTAAATTTAAATATTATTTATTTTCTTACTTTTACTAAATTGTTCTTTCTTTTTTTTCAGAATTCAATACGACACAATTTATCCTTGCACAATCGTTTTATGCGAGTACAGAATGAAGGCACTGGAAAATCGTCCTGGTGGATGTTGAATCCTGATGCAAAGCCAGGCAAGTCTGTAAGACGTCGTGCGGCATCAATGGAAACATCGCGTTATGAGAAGCGTCGGGGACGTGCCAAGAAACGTGTTGAGGCTTTGAGGCAGGCCGGTGTTACAGGCTTAAATGATGCTACACCATCGCCAAGCAGTAGTGTTAGCGAAGGCTTAGATCATTTTCCGGAAAGTCCTCTACACAGGTAACTATTAAATTGTTGGTAACTTGTAGTAGTTCTGCATATTCGTTTTACATAGTTTGGCTTTAAAATACAATTTTTTGGTATACAAAAACAAAATGTTTATATAATATATTAAATACAAAAAAAAAATATTTATATAGTTTAAAACATAGAATAAAATAATTTAGAAAAAACAATAAATAAATATAAATATTAATATAAATATAAATATAAATATAAATATAAATATAAATATAAATATAAATATAAATATAAATATAAATATAAATATAAATGTGTAGTATAATATAAATATAATATAAATATAATATAAATATAATATAAATATAATATAAATATAATATAAATATAATATAAATATAATATAAATATAATATAAATTATAAAATATAATATAATATTAATATAATTATATATAAATATAAATATAAATATAAAATTAAATATAAATATTTAAAATAATATAAATTTAATTTAAATAAAATATAAATATTAAATATAAATATAAATATAATATAAATATAAAATATAAATATAAATATAAATATTAAATTAATATAATTAAATATAAATTAAATATAAATATAAATTAATTATAAATATAAATATAATCATAAATATAAATATAAATATAATAATTATAAATATAAATATAAATATAAATATAAATATAAATATAAATATAAATATAAATATAAATATAAATATAAATATAAATATAAATAATTTGAAAATAAATAAATAAAATTTATTAAAAATAATAAAATATGATTTCATTTTAAAATAAATAAATAAACTTATTTACTTATAATAAATAATTAAATAACATTAATAATCAATATAAAATGAATAAGATAAGTAAGTAAGTAAATAAATAATAATAATTAAGTAAATAAAGGAGATTAAATATGCTCATTAAAAATGAGCAAAATAAATATAATAATAATAAAGTTAATATATAATATATTAATAATAAAAAGTTAAATTAATAAACATAAGTAAAGAAAAAAATATATAAAATAATAAAAAACTGCGAAAAATACCAAATCAAAAACAAAATATTAAAAAAAAAGTAATAGTAATAAAAAAGTAAATAAAATATATGAAACATAATTTATTAAAATAAATTTGACGAATATTAGGAAAATAGAAATAGTAAGAAATAAAAAATAATAAGAAGAAATTATAAAAAATAATAATAAGATTTTATAAAAAATAATAACAAGTAATTAAAAATTAGATGGAATTAAAGAAAGTGAATCAAAAACAAATATTTTACTTTAAATTGACTGAAAAAATCATATTAATTAAATTAGATAAAATTCAGATAAAAATAAATAAATAAATAAAATAGTAAAAAATGATATATGAAATTTGAGTGTGTTTTATATACATATATTTTTTCTAATACCAGAAAATAAAGTACCTCTTAACAAATTTATTTCCCATTTAATCGAATCTTTAAACAACCTTAAAAAATCAAAACAATTTTTATTTTAATAATTGTTTAATAATTATTTTACAATAATTTTTTAATAACTATAAAATTTACAAAAATTATTGACATATGAAAATGTAATAGTATTGTACATCGTTTTATATATAGAAGAATTAATTAACTATGTCAAATTAATGAATAAATAATATATAAATAATTAAAAGATATAAAATATAATTATTAAAAAAACTAATAATAATTTAAAATAATTACAACATTAAAACAAGTTATATAGTATTAAATTAATTTGCTTTAAAAAAATAATTTATCTTGCCATACAATATAGAAACATATAGTTTGTTATTATTAATTTAATATAGTAAATTAAACAAAAATTAAAAATATGTTTTTTTAAATGCACCGATATTTATTAACAACTTTGAGAAATTGGTTTGGAATGTTTAAGTAGTTCAGCATGATAGTTAGTTTCTGCTAATGACACGTTATTCTTACTAACAAGATAATATAGATATCTACTGAAAACTATGTGCCTAATAACTTTTATGAATTCACGCTAAGTACTTTTTAAATAATTAAAAAAACATTTTAAATTAAATTTATCATTCTAAGTTTTAAACTTATATAATTTTATAAAATTTTTATTTAAATTCATATTTTTTATAATTTTATTAATTTATTTATTTTTACAAAATTAAATTTTTATTTTTAACTCAAGTGGTGGTTTTCAATTATCACCGGATTTCCGTCAACGCGCGTCATCAAATGCAAGTTCCTGTGGACGACTTAGTCCAATACCTGCACTACTGGGCTATGAGCCCGACTGGGGTTATCCCGCTGATTATCAAAATTCAACTATGTCGCCAGCACAAGCCAGCACATTGGATCAATTGGCCGGTTCCATGGCGGAGGAGTTGACTTTGCAAAAGGATTTGATGCCAGGGTCAGTTTTTATAATTTTATGTTGTCTTATGTTTTGTATATTTTTAATTTCTATTTTTGTGATATTTAATTTTAAATAATTTAATATTATAAAACTTTAAAGTAAAAATGAAAAATATGTTTGCATGTTTGTAGCTTGTGTAGCATGTATCTAGTTTGGCTACTGTTGATTCTTTATGCGACAGATAAATAAATTGAATTTTTTTTAATTTTTTTTCTTTAAACCAAACGATCATACGGTTGGAGTAGGTTTAGCACTGCCTCAGGCATACCCACACAACCACCACCACCATACCAAGCTCCACAGGTTTATGGTTTGAATGGACCCGTACAACAAGGATATGGTTTACAGGCACAACAATGTTTACTGCATCGCTCACTTACATGCTCTTGCATGCATAATTCACGAGAGGTTGGTTATAAGCTTTACATAATTATTATTATAAGTTTTAATTAATTTTATTTATATTTTTTATGCTTACAGGGCCTTTCACCAAATTCTGTTACAACAACTATGTCACCCGCGTATCCTAATAGTGAACCTTCATCGGATTCTTTAAATACATATAGTAATGTTGTGTTAGATGTTGCTACCGGTGTAACGACTGATAATGGCACCATTTTAATGGTACAACAACAACGGCAGCAACAACCAACACAAACGCAAACAATACACATAAAATTAGAAAGTAAGTACTAAGTCATCGATTGTTGTCATTATACGTAGTGACTTATTTAATTTATTTATTTAAATTTATTAGTTTAAACTAATAATAAGATGAATTCAATTGGGGTCAGTTTCTTTAATAAATTTAATGAGTAATTCCTATATATAGTATGTTAGAACAAATTATATGAAATTAATAATCACATCTGTAAATATTTGTCAAAAGCATGGATATGACTCATCAATTGTTTAGTGATACCAAGGCGTCAAATGCAAATGCTCATCTTTGGACAGTAAATAAACAGGTTCAAATATAAACTTGCTAGACTTTGTTGAGAGAGGTTAATATAGACTGAATTGCTCTTGAAAATACTCACCTGCTATTCTATTCTTTGTTGAGTTGTGTACACTATTTCTTTATCTGTAAAGACGAACAGCTTACGGATTTATTGAACTACTCTTGGCAACACATACTTATTGTTCTAGTATTTATTAAGAGAGGTTAAGAGCATTTGGTATCTCTAAAACCAGGGTGTTCTCGGAATGTAGACCGCACTACTCTTGGAAATGCATAACATTTCCTTTTCAGTCTTTTTTAAATGAAGTAAAGGGCATTTAGTCGTCTCTAAAATCTGGTCCCAGGATGTAGACCAAACTATTCTTGAAAACTATGTTGTATATTCATGTTTTTGTTTACTTGGGTTACATCATCTTTAAATAGTACTTCAAGTATCGTATTATAGTCTTGTGTTTTTTTTTACGTAGATTTCTCATACATTTGCACACAAAAACAGATGTATGCTCTAAAGTTGATATGCAGCTGTATTGAATAGTACAAGTGTTCCTGTGTCATTGAATATTAATACGTTTTCCAACAGGCTTTCTTTTTAAAAAATAATATCGTCTTCTTATTAGATGATATCCAAAACTATATATGACGTAGGCTCAAAATATATTCTTAAATGCTAGGGTCTATAGTTTATATGAGACTACGACTCTCATATAAACTTGAAAGCAACTCGAAACATACAGTTCCTTTTTCCCCTGCTCTCCTTATCACCCATTTATTTTTTTAACACTAAGCTTTTAATTGAAAGTGTTGAAATTAATGGAAGATTCTACTCTATTTTTCTTGAACCTGTTTTTATATGATTATAAGATTATATGAAAGTGATAATAAGCTTGGTTTTAACCTAATAATTTCTTTATATAGCACCGCTTATTTATTCGTAGGTATAAACACAATTACCTATAAAAAATTGTAATGGAAGGTTGGCTTTATGTTTTTTTAACATCCATTATTTTTTATAAGTCGTGCCAATTAATATTAATTTTAAAATACTAGTAATCCATCCTATTTAAAACACTTTAAGGTTTCATCAAAAATATAATAACTAACATATGCATTTTTATGTAATATCTCAAAATATTTTAATGTGTCTTTGTATAGATGACGATTGTGCATCAACATTAATAGGACAATGCATGGAAGCACTGAATAATCAACCACAAATTGATGATTTTAATATTGATAATTTTCATGGGGGTCTGGAGTGCAATATTGAAGAAGTAAGCTTAACTCATTATAAAACAAATTATTTTTATATTAACTTAAAATGTTTTTTTTTTGTATTTATTATTTACCTTGACAGCTAATAAAACAAGAAATGAGCATTGATGGTCATCTTGATATAAATATTCCATTAACTGCAGATGGTAATGGCAGCAGTAATAACTGCGATAGTGATGTTCTTTCAATACAACAGCAGCAACAACTCAATCAATTACAAGCGCAACTACAACAGCAGCAGCAACAACAAATGCAGCAACAGAATCAACAAGTACAATTACAACCAATGCTCAACAATAATAATGCAACATTGGCATCAGCGCTGGATCTGCCAACTCAAACCCAAACAACAAATCTTAATACACGAGTGCAATATTCGCAACCCAGTGTAGTAACTCCACCCTCCTGGGTCCATTGAAATCGTACATAGCAAATAGCAAAAGAGTTCAAGTAAATTATGTAGCAGATAGTTAAGTGTTTCAAATGAACTACAGGACTAAAGGCAAAATTATGTATATATTGTATGAATGAAATATTTTGCAGCAGAGTTATTTATTTTATGAAAATAACAGCAACAGCAATAGCAATAGCAACAGCAACAGCAGGAACAACAACAACAACAGCAACAGTAATTTTTATAAAGCTGCAACATTTTTATAAAATGGCAAAAAAAAAAATAATAAAAACCAATAATATATATATATATATATATATTTAGTTAGGAAATATTTACAACAACAAACAATAAGAAATATGATGGTCAATTGTTTATTGCTTTGAGTGTTGAAATACAAAAAAAATAGATATTTAGCAACAACAGACAACATAACCTTAAGACAATGGCAGAATAATTAATATAATTTAATTAAAAATTCTACAACTACAACAATAATTATAAAGCTATAAGCATACCAACAACAACAATTAAAGTCAACTTGGAATCAACGATTTTATATAGTAAGTATATATAGTATATAGTATGAAATTATAAATAAGTTGTAATCTCAGTAATTATTTATTACAATAAATTTAAAATATTTATTTTTAAAGAATATTATCGTTAAGGTACGATTTAGTGGAGATTGTTAACTACCATATAAATCTTGAATATTAGATTAGGTATGCCAGCGATCCAAAGAATTCACTTAGGCCTACTGGCGCATTCTGTTAAAGTATAAAGAAAACCTCAGTTTTAGAAACCAACTTGAAATTTTGATAAAGCGTAAAATGGGAGGTCTTCCAGTAGCAAAGATCTTCAAAAAACGAAGCGCGTAGAAATGGCGCTGCACATGCGCTGGACAAAAACAAAGCAAATGTGGCCCACTTTCATCGTCCTCTCTACAACTGCGGCTGGAATGGACTCCTAATCGCTTTGAATTTTCGATTATTAATATAATATAAATATTATGATAAATCGATATATTCATGTTCATTTTACGGACTTGTGGCATCTTTAGCCGCGTGCTAAACCGCCAACTCGATTAGCGGTTTGCTATTACCACTTGGTAGTACTGCATGTTTGCAAATAATTTCTCTCTTAGTCGTTACACCGAATGTTCTCTACAGCTTTTCCAATCAGCTGGTATGAGTCAAAGATCTTTCTAGATTATCTATTTTCATCTATACCTATGTGCAACGTTTTCATTTTAGCAAATCCGCTAAATTGGTATATATGTTTAATATGTAAATTTAGATCGTGTTGTTATTATTGTAACCAAAGACCGACTTAAAAAGAAGCACATAAAAAATTGTCAAGACATTGCAAAACAAAGTAGGATAGGAAAGGTTATATGTAGATAGAAAAGAGGAACAATGAAGGTATTCTTTCTATCTAATTTAATACTAGTTGGCAAGGTATATGGAACTATAGATCTTTTGAAATAATTTTCTTTCGAATACACATAATATCAATAACTATAACTATTAGTTTTTGTCCAAGCAGACATTATACAGAAGGAAAGATATGACAAAAGGCTTATAGAGTAAGATTTTCTCACTGTGTAATGTAACGTTTAGTGAGAAGAGACTGCTTTTTTCAATTGCCTCCTTAGTCCTTAGTATCGTCTATTGGCAAGTAAAATTTTGTGTTGAGTCCCTAGACTAGCATCATTTTTTGCGTTTACACCGATTTGCAGGTAAGCAAAGTCTTTCATAAAATTTTCAGCAGTGATATTGTTTCCAAGCCCAAGCATTTTGCTGTATTGGTAATAAGTACTGTGTTTTGTATTCATTTACCATAAAAGCTATTAGCTCTGCTATATATTTAAGTTAGAGAAATCCTTACTGACGGTGCGACTAGTACAAAAACAATTAGTACAGTTCAACCTTTCTATTTAAATGATTGCTTTCAGTATTAGATGTGTTCATTTAAGTATTTTAAAAAAGTATATCTTTTGTAAATAATAAAATAATACGAGTTTCTTACAATATCTTGTAGAACTTTTACGTAGAGCTTTTAGATAAAAAATTCTTACTAAAAAAATAAATCTTTAAGATTTACTTTAAATTTTTACATTAAAAGCTGATTTAATCTTTAAAGATATGCACAAATATGATATGTAACTTCTTCTTCTTCTTTCCATAGACTAAGTTCCATAGTCTACAGCTTCTTAAGTTGTTTTCAATTTTAATCATTTTAAAAGATATTCTAAGTGACGTTTATGCATAATTTATGTTAATAAAGCAATTTTACAGTGAAAATTTATGAATATGAATGAATTTCTATACAAAAAATTAATTTTATAAAAAAAAAAATTAACTTACAACCCCCCCAAAGGCGGTGATACATATAAAATACAAAATGTGACATCCGTTTGCCGCTTCGTAATTTTACTGCCTAAATAAATGCAGGGTAGCTGGGTAACTTCTTGGCTCCATACATCCTGCTGCTGCCAATTTCAATCGTATCATAAAATGTCCCTTTAAAAGTTGCTTAGTTTCCTCAGACACACACCCACACTGGTGTTCCCTCTCCTTACTTTGCACAAAGCCTCATGTTTATATACAAAACCTTAGTTTTCCTTATAAATATAAATATTCTTACCGCGAAAAATCAGCAGAAAACAAGGAAAATCATAAAAAAATCACAATAGGGCAGCGAAGACGACAACTTAAAAATCGTGTACCAAATGAGCAGGAATAAAGCCCAATGAATCTTTTATTTCCTGTTGAAATATAAAATCACAGATTTCGACAATAAAAATAATAAAAGGAATCAAGCATTTGAGAAGAAAAAAAACTTGAGGCAATTACACGCGTACAATTATCATAATAACTTCTTAGCAGCGATTTTCAAGAACGCGGCTCTATTTGATTTTATTTCATTTTTATTATTAATAATTTTTTTTTCCACATTATATTATATTTCCTTTAATTTGGAAATATACTTGAATTAAGTTGAATTTCTATAAAAATTAATATCTGGCTTCGTACTATTAAAATGTTAATTTCAATGACTTTTGGCTTATTAGAGAGAAAACATAAATAATATATGTACTTGCAGTTAATCATGATTCTCATAAAATTATCTAAGTAATTACGAAAATTAATTTTACTTACTTTTTATTACAAGCCTGAGCTTATCACTCATCTTTACTAGTGATATTTACTCCATGCCTCAAAGGATGTATTGAGCATCTTGTGTGAATTTGTATGCCTTTCTACCACTTTACGAGCAAAAATAATTAACAAATGTTTTTCAATGAATCATAATTTTTACTCTTTTTCTGTATTGGAATCCCCTATTGGATATGTTGTTGGCTATGTTTTATCTCTTCATTACAAAACCCTGCTTCAGACAACAAATTTCAAAGAACTATTATAAAAACATGTAGATACAAATAGTAACGAATGTAACATAGCTATCTAAAAAATATTAAAAAGAATAAAAGACCTATCGTGATCTTGGGTCCTTAGTGTTTAACAATTATATCCATATTATATAAAATCTATAATTTTGCTATGAGTGTGAAAAGCTAAGTTGGATTTATTATTTTTCTTTGATTTTGATTTTTGATGTTGATTTTTATGTTAAATATATATATAAGAATATATATTTTATATATATTTATTATATAATATATAATATAATATAATAGATTAGTCACAGATTAGTCTACAGATTACAGATTAGTCTGTACAAACACACTATTCCCATTATAAGCTGCAATAACAACATACCTTCTGCTCAAAAAGTATCCGGATTTTGTTGTTTGTTAACTACTCCTTAAGTAATAGACCTTTTTTAAAATATTTTTTTGTTATGTTGGTACACCCTTTCTTGACATATGGTACAAATTTGAACGCCATTTGTCAATTAGTTTGTTTACAGCAGCTGTTAATGTGAGATTATCTCAAGTGCATATATGTTAGCTATGGAAAATTCTTGTGCGCTATTTTTTAACCAAACAAGGCATTACTGTCATCGCTCAGGCACCATATTCGCCAGATCTGGATCCGTGCGACTTTTTCCTGCTTCCGAAACTCAAATTGCCCCTTCGTGGTAAGCGTTTTGAGTCGATTAAATCGGTAAAAGAGAATTCGCTGAAGGAACTAAAAGCCATACCTTCACGGGCCTACGAAAAGTGTATGGAAGATTGGATTAAGCGTTCGCATATGTGATCGCTTCAGAAGGAGCATATTTTGAAGGAGATAAAATAAATTTGGAATAAAATTTAAATTTGTCTGTTTTATTTACAAAATCCGAGTACGTTTTGAGCACAATGATCACAATGATCAATTTCGTACTTTTAGTACAATTTTGATATTTCTTGTTGGAATCTACATTTTAAAATAAAAAATATTTATTTTTTGGAATTTTAGAAAATAGTTTTTTGTCTAATTATATTTGCTCCGTTTAAGCTCAAAGTCTGAGATTCACTACTGAGCCAAAGTGTTCTGATCAACGTAACGAGACACTGAAAACCGATGACCGCTACCATTACCAACTTTTAATCAAAGAAACTTTTATACTTAATTTTTTAATTAATATTAAAAGCAACAATAAAACCACATTTGACGAGCCCATGACTTTCTGTATAAAGTAGCCCTAATCAATTCAAAAACTACATATACGAACTCCTACTAGATGGCGTGTGTAGGCGTATTCAGTGTAGAAATTCAAAACCTTTAAACTACGATATCTCGAGAATTTGGTAAACTATATCGCCATTCATTGTCAAAATGACTTGGGGCTTGAAATAGAGCTATTTTAATACTCATATAGCACTTACAAAATGACTATTAATTTGAATCTCATACTATAATTTAAACATTCATCGATAATCTTCATTATGTCAAATACTTAAATGAGGATCATTATTAGCTTGTTAAAAGCGCACTTTCCATTACATTTAACTACACATTCAAGTCCAACGGAAATTATATAAAATTAAATCAATTTGTCGTCCTTAAATGAAAATGAATAAATTTGCTTATTGAGAATTAATGGCGTAATATTCCAACCCCTCCCTTCAATCCACAACCAACCTTTCAATGACTGACATTGATGTAATTGCCAAGTAATTTTTAAAATATTCGCTGAGGGCTATAAAAAAACCTAAGCATTTCCACAAAGCTGA